TATATATAAATGAAAGGGTTAAGGTGGCCACAGGAATTCAGGAGACTGAGAGCAAAGGCAGAGAGCAGATACCTGAAGACAGAGTCACTGTGGTGGTCAGATAAGAATATGAACCAGCCAAAGAACTTATGCCAGGGGACAGAGCTGTCAAAACACAGGAACTTATTCTAGACCAAAGCCCAGATGGATGGCAGTTTCAGAGTGTCAGCTGGAAGTGTCAGCAACTTGGAGTAGGCCATGCAAGGTCGTCAGGGGCAGGAGAAACCATGATGTGCTAAAGCCTGAGAATAGATTCAGAGGTTTGTGGCTTTGGATTTTCCTGGGCAAGGCTTGTGATGAGTGACCAGGTGACCAGGTCATTGTGCAGCTGTGTCTTGTTTTATGGACCTTGAGTAAGGGTGTTGCATCATTCAGTGGTCTGGCATGTTTGATAAGCTTATAGGCCTTTTTTTAAAATGAATTTGATATGCTTATGCATTCATGTCCTTTTGATTAATTTGATAAGTTCACAGGTGCTCATTTTTATTAGCATGGTTAATTTATTTATCACTTTATGACTTATGGTTGTGCTAGGCAGATGGTGGTTGTTTACTTGTACAAACAAGGCATAGTCATTCCACCTCAGTATTTATATTCAAAATGGAGTAATCCATGGCACGCTACTGCATTATAAAATGGAGTAACTCAGGTTTAGGCACAGCCTGAAAACTACTTTTCTACACATCATGGAGTAAATCAGTAGGGCACAGCTTACTCTACAGCCAACTTCTTGTGGACAGCAAGTAAATATTACCTGTGGGCCTCAGTTTCCTCATCTGCTAAAGAGAGAGAAATAACTGCCCTTCTAACTTTACAAAGGTGATTAATGAAATAAAAAGGGATTTTTAGAAAAGTCTTTGGAAGGTTTTGGAGGAAAAATACACTGATTAATACATTACTAAAATATGGTATTAAAATATTGTCTTCAAAATGTTCTTTAACATTTTGAAAAATATTCTTAAAGTAATTCTTTTTTTAAGAGAGAGAGAATTTTTTAATACTTATTTTTCAGTTTTTGGTGGACACAACATCTTTTTTTTTTTTAAAGAGAGAGTGAGAGAGGGAGAGAGAGAGAATTTTAATATTTATTTATTTTATCGGCGGACACAACATCTTTGTTTGTATGTGGTGCTGAGGATCGAACCCGGGCCGTACACACGCCAGGCGAGCGCGCTACTGCTTGAGCCACATCCCCAGCCCCAACATCTTTATTTATTTTTTTTTCATGCTTCCAGGAAAGTTTATTTAGGAATATATTTCTCTTTCCTTTTTTTTAATCATAATATATCCAGTTTTATAAATGTTAGTCATTACATAATTTTATGTATGTCATAAACATGTAATATTTGTCAAGCATGCATGTTTAAAAATAGGTAGTTTGGGAAAATAAAAGTATACAAAAAAAACATAAAAGACTTGTGTACATGATAAACTCATCATTTCCAACATCTTTATTTTATTTTTATGTGGTGCTGAGGATCGAACCCAGGGTCCCACGCATACCAGGTGAGCGCCTTACCGCTTGAGCCACATCCTCAGCCCCTTAAAGTAATTCTTAAGTATTTTACCCTAATTATTTTGGTTTTGCTTATTTTGACTCATTCTTAGTATTGTTCATTATAATTCTTTTAGTGTGAGGTAAGATTGGCCACAAAATATTAATTCAATCCATTAGAATGTGGGATAAAGTGATCCAAAAAGTTATTTAAATGGCAGAGGAAATAAAGAATTTAAAAAAAAAATTTGTTTAGCCTGGTCTCATGGCACATGCCTGTAACCCCAGCAGTTTGGGAGGCTGAGGCAGGAGGATTTCGAGTTCAAAGCCAGCCTCAGCAAAAGTGAGGCACTTAGCAACTCAGTGAGACCCTGTCTCTAAATAAAATACAAAATACATCTGGGGATGTGGCTCAGTAGTTGAGTGCCTCTGAGTTTAATCCCTGGTACAAAAAAAAATTTAGTTATAGTTGGACACAATACCTTTATTTTATTTATTTATTTTTATGTGGTGCTGAGGATTGAACTCAGTGCACCTCACACGTGCTAGACAAATGCCCTACCACTGAGCTCCAGCCCCATCCCTACATTGCTTATTTGATTTCCTCCTTAAAGACAGCTGCTTTTGTGGAGCTCATAGGTTTTGTCCTTTTGAATAGGATTACTGTTTCACAACAGCACATTGTGTCCAGGTAATTTGGTTGTCAAAAATTCAATCATAATCCCTATAGTTGCCTATCACCAGGTCAGTTTGTGGGCCTCTTAACCTGGTTTTGTGTGTGTGTGTGTGTGTGTGTGTGTGTGTGTG